CCATGGATACCCATCGACTGGAATTATTCATCACAATCGTCAAACCATCTGTAATACTGATAGCAAACAAGGCTGCAGTAAACATGTGATGTCAGCAGCCAATCAGAGTGCGGGGTTTTCAGTGAATTTCCCAACATTCCACTAGCTGTTTGAACTCTGTCATTAAGCTCAGTGTTCCATGTCTAAAGTTAGCTGGAAACATTGTATTTGATTTTTATTAAAAAAAAAACACTCCCAAAATTATTCAGCGTTAACCCGATCTCCTCAAGGCTGATACAGATGCATAATTTATATAATGACAGAGCCACAGAAGGCAGGATGGATTTTGGGGACAGGTGTTATGAAATTTCCACAATATAGTCCGGTCCATCCACTGCAGTGGGTATGCCATGTTTTAGTGTGAAGCATGCTGGGAAATCCCGCTATTCTCAAAGGGAGACCATCGACTCATCATAGTGCAGTCTCTTTACGGTTTCCTTGTAAATAATGAAAAATTAACTCATACTTACCGAAATTTTCCTTTTGCTGTAATGGGCCACGGCAGTACTTAACAGTAGAGTTAAGCTCCTCCCACCACTTCCAATGGACAAAAATAAAACTATTAAGCAATTAAGAAGAGACTTAAAATACTCTTCCAAACTAAGTGACCCTCACTTCATTATGAAGTCACCCACACCGGGCAGGGCTGCCGTGGCCTATTACCAGGACAGGAAAATATCAGTAAGTATGAGTTAATTGTCTGTTTTTGCAGCCACGGCCACAGCATCACTTAACAGTAGGGCAATGTCCAGGCATTAAAGTAAAAGCTAGGAGGATAAGCACAAAACAAAGAAATAGTGTTGATAAGCACATAAATATATTAAGCTGAAATAAATTAAACAGTTGAGGCCAAAACTATGTCCTGGTTAAGGTGAAAGCTTGAAACCAACAGAATTCTGGAACTGATCATAGAAATATCCTGAACACCATTCTTCTACCAAGCTCGTCTGCCAGAGATAAAGGCCGCCAGGAGAGCTGTCTTCCATGTAAGTAGAACATCAGAGGGATGTCCTGTAAAGGTTCAAAGGGAGCCGATTGCAAAGCTGAGAGACCCAATGGTAAGCCCAATGGAGGAGAGGAGAATCTTACTGTAGGTGGGATATGAAGAATAGCTTTCATAAATTGGGCAACATCTGGGTCTAAGGCCCAACGGACACCAGGAACTACTGGCAATTAATGAGAACTATCTGTCTATATTGAAAGTCATTGAGAAAACGACTTCTTCCCCCATCCCTTCATTACTCACTCGTACCCTCCACCACCCCAACAGGAAACATTTTATTTTACTACTTCTAAAGCCATCCTGCAGCCAAGACAGTTCTACCGAGAATCTAACCTCTGCTCCTAGGTACAATATACCTGCCTTTCCCCTTTTTGTATTTATTTGGCCATAGTTTAATGTTTATGATTTGCTGAGCAATTAGAAAAGAATGGTGGATTTTGTAACATTTTAAGAGAATTAAATGGCTGAAATGTTTATCGATTCTCCTAACTCCTTTTGTTTTCCCATCACCATCGAACCTGGCACCTTGTTGTCTACACATGACAAGAAGTGGCCAATCTCCTGTTCTTGTACAGATACAGTAACCTAAAGTGCCCCATTTTCCACCTCTTTGGATCTGTGGGAGCTATCCTAGTTTACGCCTCCTTTACAATGCATATAACTGCTTAATTCCAGACCTTCAGGATTCATGTTTATGAGTGTGTCTCCATTCTACTCCTTTCTATCCAATATGGCTGACCATTCTAGCTTGGCGAAGACCACAAGGTATGCAAGGTTTTCAGGCCTCACAGGGACTTTCTCAGCAGATTTAATAGCCAATATATTTTCATTACCCTCAGGGTTATTATCTAAAGTGAGAATTCAAAGGGAATTTAAAGTTAATTTCAAATTTAAAGTCAAAATTACCGAACTGGAAAAATGATCTAAGTCTACAATGCATTCAGTTTGGGGACTCTGACTTTAAATATGAACTTCCCTTTAGTAAATAACCCTGTATGTCAGCCTGCCGAGGAGGAGACTTGAGAGGGGATCCAGGCTGGAATAGGGGTCTGTGACTCAGCAAGTGGCTATATTTGTTCATTTATTCAATATACAATGTTACTGTTGAGATGGCTACTGGATAAGGCCATTTATCTTCTTTTTTATCTCCAGTATACACTTCCTGATTTATGAAGCCAGCTTGGGGTGTAACGTACAGCATCAAACACGCGGATATAGAATAATTAATTTTGTTGTTTTTCTTTTTATCCTTTTTTTATGGTGAATTATCTGAATTTAAATAGTCCTGATTCAATAGAGCACATATATAAATTGTTGTTTTTTTTCTTGAAAGGAAAAAAGATTGGTTGATTATAAAAACAGAATTATTTAAGAAATTCAAGAGCAGACCAATTATACCGGTGTCCTTATAATTTGTATTTAATAAGTGTGTATAACACTTTTAAATTAAGTGCTTAATGATTGCCTGATTAAATGTATAATCAAAATGCAAATTACATCTCATTTCTTGTCTTTTGGTGAACCATTTCAGTTCTGGAGGATTCTGGGATTGAAATTCCACACCAGCGGGTGTTTGTAACGCAGGGCTATAAATACATTGACGCTGTAAAGGTGAAGTGATGTAACAGGGGGGAGTTTTAATTTTGGGGTGGTAGTTGTATATCTATAAAAACAAAGTAATCAGAGATACTTTTATCCCCTCATACATTTTGATCGCATAACAGAACAGACAGATGGCTACAATTTCATACTGTGTATCAGAACGTTAATACATTGGGAGAAGCAGTTAATAACTGTGAGAGCTCAGTTAAGGTGTGAAATTATTTATTTATGTATAGAACACACAGAAGTACTGTCTCAGCTGTTATTTCGTACTTTCCGACCTTTGAAACCTTAATCAGTAAGCCGGGACACACTTTTCCCTAATTTTTAGTCCAGTTTGTTGAGTGATGGACAGGTACAGCTCCCGATAATAGTTGTCCGACTCAGCTCGAGTTTACGTCCGCTATTTTAATCTCTGAAGAAAACCATTTTCTGCCTTCAGCTGAAGAGAAAGAATTTAAGTGGAAAGTTATTGTACAGTATCAAATCAGTTATATTAGCTGAAAGTATTATTTATGGTAAATAGAATTACAGGAAGGGTATTGGGTAAGATATTGTCTATTTCGTCTCTTATTGACCTTAGCTTGTCCATCTTTGCGGCTGTATCCTTCTTCATATTCTGCATTTTCCTCTCTATTCTCCACTAACAGTCAAACCAAGATAATTATGTCAGATTTTCCGCTTGGTGAGTAATTATAATCTCTGATTGGCCTTGACAACAATTAACACTATTTTGAAATCTGAAGAAAGAGAAGCTCAAAGTATCATTAATCTGCTGAGATATTTAGACAAAACTGTGGAGGAAAAATATTTAAGAATTAAAAAAAAGAATAATGTCCTTTATTCAATTAAAATGGGATTTGTGGAGAACTAATTGCAAATTTTACTCCAAAATTCTCGACCGGTACAATTAATTATCTTTTTTCAAATTCAGCAATTTAAAATGTTGCAATTCCCTCATCATTCTTCAACTATACACCCGGCGTAAATACTCATCATTCTCCAACTATACACCCGGCATAAGGACTCATCATTCTCCAACTATACAACTGGCATAAGGACTCATCATTCTCCAACTATACACCCGGCGTAAAGAGACATCATTCTCCAACTATACACCCGGTGTAAAGACTCATCATTCTCAAACTATACACCTGGCATAAGGACTCATCATTCTTCAACTATACAACCGGCATAAGGACTCATAATTCTCCAACTATACACCGAGCGTAAATACTCATCATTCTCCAACTATACACACAGCGTAAAGACTCATCATTCCCCAACTATACACCCGGCGTAAAGACTCATCATTCTCCAATTATACACCGAGCGTAAAGACTCATCATTCTCCAACTATACACCCGGCATAAGGACTCATAATTCTCCAACTATACAACCGGCATAAGGACTCATCATTCTCCAACTATACACCCGGCATAAGGACTCATCATTCTCCAACTATACACCCAGCATAAGGACTCCTCATTCTCCAACTATACACCTGGCATAAGGACTCATCATTCTCCAACTATACAACCGGCATAAAGACTCATCATTCTCCAACTATACACAACCGGCATAAAGCATACACCCGGCATAAAGACTCATCATTCTCCAACTATACGCACCGTGAAGACTCATCATTCTCCAACTATACACCCCGTAAAGACTCATCATTCTCCAACTATACATAAAGACTCATCATTCTCCAACTATACACCCGGCATAAAGACTCATCATTCTCCAACTATACACCCGGCGTAAAGACTCATCATTCTCCAACTATACACACGGCGTGAAGACTCATCATTCTCCAACTATACACACGGCGTGAAGACTCATCATTCTCCAACTATATACCCAGCATAAAGAGTCATCATTCTCCAACTATACATACGGCGTAAAGACTCATCATTCTCCAACTATACACCCGGCGTAAAGACTCATCATTCTCCAACTATACACCCGGCGTAAAGACTCATCATTCTCCAACTATACACCTGGCGTGAAGACTCATCATTCTCCAACTATACAACCAGCATAAAGACTCATCATTCCCCAACTATACACCCAGCGTAAAGAGTCATCATTCTCCAACTATACACACGGCGTAAAGACTCATAATTTTCCAACTATACACACGGCGTAAAGACTCATCATTCTCCAACTATACAACCGGCATAAGGACTCATCATTCTCCAACTATACACCGAGCGTAAAGAGTCATCATTCTCCAATTATACACCCGGCGTAAAGACTCCTCATTCTCCAACTATACACCCGGCGTAAAGACTCATCATTCTCCAACTATACACCGAGCGTAAAGACTCATCATTCTCCAACTATACAACCGGCATAAGGACTCATCATTCTCCAACTATACACACGGCGTGAAGACTTATCAATCTCCAACTATACACCCGGCGTAAAGACTCATCATTCTCCAACTATACACATGGCGTAAAGACTCCTCATTCTCCAACTATACACCCGGCATAAAGACTCATCATTCTCCAACTATACACCCGGCATAAGGACTCATCATTCTCCAACTATACACCCGGCGTAAAGACTTATCATTCTCCAACTATACAACTGGCATAAGGACTTATCATTCTCCAACTATACACACGGCATGAAGACTCATCACTCTCCAACTATACACCCGGCGTAAAGACTCATCATTCTCCAACTATACACCCGGCGTAAAGACTCATCATTCTCCAACTATACACACGGCGTAAAGACTCATCATTCTCCAACTATACAACCGGCAAAAGGACTCATCATTCTCCAACTATACACACGGCATGAAGACTCATCATTCTCCAACTATACACACGGCATGAAGACTCATCATTATCCAACTATACACCCGGCGTAAAGACTCATCATTCTCCAACTATACACACGGCGTAAAGACTCATCATTCTCCAACTATACAACCGGCATAAGGACTCATCATTCTCCAACTATACAACCGGCATAAGGACTCATCATTCTCCAACTATACACACGGCATGAAGATTAATCATTCTCCAACTATACACACGGCACGAAGACTCATCGTTCTCCAACTATACACCGAGCGTAAAGACTCATCATTCTCCAACTATACAACCGGCATAAGGACTCATCATTCTCCAACGATATACCCGGCGTAAGGACTTATCATTCTCCAACTATACACCTGGCGTAAAAAAAGACTGACCATTCTCCAACTATATATCCGGAGTAAAGATGGTCTACTGTGTTCTATGGGTTCTGAGCTCAAAGACCACTTTGAAGCCAACACTTACTGTATAGACTGAGAAAATTTTAAAGGGGAACTACCTCTGCCATGGAAAGTACACAGTGAATTAAGCATTGAAAATTGCCTATAATCAGTGGTGAGCTTTGAGATTAGATGCTTCATTTTCCTTTAAATTATTTTCTGATAACGATAATCTAGTTCAGCTCAGGCGCAGCCAGAGAACACAGTACATTGGAGGAAGAGACATAGATACCTTGTTCTATTTCTCCTCTTCACTGTTTGCTCTCTCTATGCTGATTGCCAGGTACAAAGGACAGAGCTTAAAACAATGAATGACAGGAATGAGTGTCGCAGCTTTCTATATTTAAAGGGACACTATAGTCACCCAGACCACTTCAGCTCAATGAAGTGGTCTGGGTGCCAGGTCACCCAGGTTTTAACGCTGCATCTGAAAACATAGCAGTTTCTGATAAAGTGCTATGTTTACATTGCAGGGTTAATCCATCCTCTAGTGGCTGTCTTCCTGACAGCCGCTAGAGGTGCTTCTGCGACACTGGATGCAAAAATTGCATTGAGCACGCAGAATGTCCATAGGAATGCTTTGAGTAATGCTTTGCTATGGGCGAATTGAATGCACACGCCGCTCTGGTTGCGCATGCGTATTCGGCTCCGCTTGAGAGCTGACGTCGGTGGGGGAGGACAGGTCACCAGCGCCGAGAGATCCCGGCGATGGATTAAGGTAAGTGGCTGAAGGGGTTTTTACCCCTTCAGCCCAGCGGGAGGGGGCCCTGAGGACTATATAGTGCCAAGAAAAAAAGTTTGTTTTCCTGGCACTATAGTGATCCTTTAAAGTTATTTTGAGACATTAAAAATACCTATTTGTTAAACAGAGGGGTTAATTATATGTTATATTAAAATCCGGGAAAGGGATGGTGCCCTTTAAATCCGGAGGAGGACAGACTGTATTAGATGAAGTCAGGCTCTGTCACTCGGTGGAGTTCCTGTGATGGAATCGCTGCAGTGCAATAAAGCATTTTAATATCATTTATACTGCCGTAACATTCTAATACAATGCAACCTTTAGATAACATCCCAACGGCACGTCTGCAGATTTCAGGGAGATATCTTAAACCTTCATATAACTCAGGATATTGGACGTATAACATTAAGGCCCGTGTTATGTTATTAAAATGATATATTAATAGGCGTCTCCTTAACCCTTTCAGCATCACGGCCAGGCAATCGCTTATGTTCTGGACAAGTCTTGAAAGGGTTAAACATACACAACCTGGGGTCAATACGTATAGGTTTACGAGGTTGCTTTGTCGTTACAGCAGAGACTAAGAATTTAAATTTAATTTGTATGAATATTTGTTTGTAAGATATTTGATTATTCTGTCCTGTAAGAGCAGGATTAGAAAATGATAGCTGACTCCCAAAATGTACATCAGGTGAAGATATACACATGATGTCATAGGTTGTGCATGATGTCATAGATTACATGTGATGTTATAGATTGAACATGATGTCATAGATGGCACATGATGTCATAGATTAGACATGGAGTCATAGATGGCACATGATGTCATAGGTTGTACACATGGAGTCATAGATTGCACAGGATGTCATAGATTGTACACATGGTGTCATAGACTGCAGTGATGTCATAGATTGTACTTGGAGTCATAGATTTGCGTGATATCATATATTGCACATTATGTCCTAGATTACACGTGGAATCATAGATTGCACAAGATGTCATAGATTGTACACATGGTATCATAGACTGCAGTGATGTCATAGATTGCACTTGGAGTCATAGATTTGTGTGATGTCATAGATTGCACATTATGTCCTAGATTACACATGGAGTCATAGATTGCACAAGATGTCACCATGTGATACATTCTGATTTTTCATTTCAAGGAACATTCTATTACTCCCTAGAATGCAGTAATAGAATGCAGCCGTAGAATGCAATAATAGAATGCAGTAATAGAATGCAGCCGTAGAATGCAATAATAGAATGCAGCTGTAAAATGCAATAATAAAATGCAGCCGTAGAATGCAGTCCTAGATTGCACCCATAAAATGCACATAATGTCACAATGTAATGCATTGTATGATTTCTCATTTCAAGGAACATCCCATTGCTCCGTAGAATGTAGTCATAGATTGCAGCCAATTACTTTCCTGTGCACCAAAGCAGCGTCTTCATTAGTTTTATTCCCTAAATCAGGGCTCTGCGGAGAACCGGAAAATTGCAGAACTTAAGCCAAAATAGCTGAAACAGAAACATACAGCAATGCAGGGAGTTTGCCCAATCATTTCAATCCCCTTTCGGTTTTACTCAGTTCCCACCAGGTTAACTCACTGCATGGTGAATAGTGGGGAATCGTACAATGGGGAAACTCAGGCCAAAATAGTCAAATTAGGACCAAATCGGCTATTTTGACCTGAGTGGTGTTTTCCTATTTTCAGCTGGATAAATTCACTGTTTAGTAAATAAAACCCATTGGTGAATTCCTAACAAACTGTCAGTTTTTATAACCTTACATATTTTCACTAAATACTCTGAAGCAGCTCACCTGGTGAAACTCCCTTGGCCCCATCTATACATCATATGGACTACACAGGGCAAAACACAATGATTATTACTACTATTATTATTATTATTATTACTTTTATTCTATACAGACATCTAGTTCAGTGTTTAGTGAATAGTTCGATATGTTTAGACGTGGTTAATGGATGAGATCTTGTCTCTGCCATGCCAGGTGTCCACATGCTAAGTTTAGCAGCGGTGGCACAGCTGAGATAAGAGCTCCCCTCACTAATGTCTAGGCGGTTAGCAAAACGTGGGGTTTTAGTTTGTGGTCCGTAGCGCTGGGGCCACCGACCTACTCCCTCGTGGTCAGCAGCTGCTCCGGAAATGGCCAGTGGAAGAGCCTGAGCCCAGCCAATGTCTGAAGGGAAGTGAGAGCGAGTCGAGAGTTCTCTCTCTGATAAGATCCTGAGAAAGATCTTCTGCCCATCTGTAGAGCAGGAAACAAGCCCTCACCAGACCTCCTATCATTATCTGCAGAACCTCTGCCTTTCCTGTCTTCACCTTCCTCCCCCTGGGCTGCGTACAGCCTGATTTCCGAGCCTGACCAGTGCCAGCGTCACGCCATGGAACAGGGAAAACGCTGAGGCCAGAGCTTAGTATAGGTCAGAGCCGCACAATGACAGACACTCTATCTCTGTAACGAGTCAGGGATACTTTTAGATTATATTATTTCTCACTTTCCTTAGAAACAAATAGAAGTAACGGTTTATTTATTTCATTTGTAGTTTTATCATTTAATCATTTTGTTTTGTTGAATTCATTTATAACGTTGAATTCATTTATAACGTTGCTGCCCGTCTTCCAATAAATTGCAAGCTTTTTTGGAGAGTGTGAAATGACATATTTACTCCTCCCTCGTCCCCACTTTCAGTTTGCCGTATAAGTTGTTGGAGTCTTTATTAATGAATTTGTCCATATTTTGTAGCAATTTCCACTTTAGGATATTTTACAATCTGTGGGTTGAGGAGGATCTATTTCCACTCCAGAAAACAAATTCCAACAGGTTGGCAGACTGTACGTTTTGGCTGTGGGTGAATAAGATCCTTGTAAAAAAATATTATGTCTCACAAAGATCTCTTTACAGAGGAATCTGTCTCCTTAAATGTTCGTTCAGAAGTGGATTTTGTTCTAAGTTTGACGGATTTTAACCCTGCGTAGCTGTTTACTTTCTTGTGCCTTGTGTGGCAAATCTTTAAGAATTATTACTGACCTCATTTCATGTCTTCTCTCCATCTTTTGCTGCCCGTCATATCAAAATCCTATCAAATGGACGGAATAAATAAATTGGGGAGAAATAAGTATTTTAATATGATTACAGTGGATGCCCCCAGCATGCTGAACCGTTAGATCTATACGAATAGCTTTAGCATGATGGGGCATTCAGCATTGAATGATTATTGCACTATAACTGCAGCATATAACGCAGCGCTACCAACAGGGTTATCCACAAAACCACGAACTGAAGAGAACTGGCAAATTTTAGGCAAAATAATAGAAGCCGAATCGAGCGTAAAATCTGCATTTTTGGCAGAATTTATCAGCAAATTTCTAGTTTAGTGAATGCATGCCGGATTCAGCTATGTTTGATTACATGGTAATTACCAAACGCTGAAAACGGGGCTGGAGAATTGACTCCTGAGGATGGAATCTGATCTAGAAGACGGAAGACAAACATTTGTCCAAATGTTACATTATTATTATTATTATTTTATTATTTATATAGC